AAAATCATGCCTACAAGAAACGTTTTAAAAATAACTATTTTAAACTCTATATTCTCCAGGATTTCTGAGCAAGGCTGAAGTGTCGCTATAGGGTTAATATTGGCTATTGAACTAGCTGTTCAACAGTCTACTCCTTCTAATATTTCTCTCTCTTCCCCTGCCCACTTACTCTTGGGGAAATGACTGGCTTGTAACTAAATTCAGAGGAAGCATGATATTGAAAATGCCCAGTGCATCACCACTGAACAGGAAAGGCTAAAATTTTTTGGTTTATGAGCCATACCAAAAAACTATATACAGTCAAAAGCTGAGTAATAATTCACAGTAAGAGGGTAACAGCAGGGGTGCTGTTGCTGTGCTGGGTAGGACCTGCTCCCGAAGTTCTGGCACGGCTGGCACATTAGCACCAGCAGCTCTGATGGCTCACAACGTTCTGTAGTGGCAAATTGTGACCTTCTAGCCCTGATGCTGTACCAGTACCACTGCCAGGGGCACAAAGAACAGAGCTTTGGAATGGGAGCTAAACTGAAATTGCTTCCAAGTAACACATGGCTCAAAAGCCACCACTTATTCACATCCAACACAGCGATAGAACTGATTTTTTTTTTTCAGATAGACCTAAAAAGTCAGTATCATCAGCATTTTTACTGAAGACTCATATTTATATAGCCTATCCTTTAAGGTCAATTTTCTGCTTCTATAAAAATGAAGCATCTGCCTTTTCTACCCTTGGTAACAGCTAAGCTACCAGGAGACTCTAGGCATAGTACCTCAAGTTTTCAACTTAAAAAAAAAAAAGGAACAAGTATGATCTATACTGCTAGCATATGCATTTTAAATGAATGACCACACTATCACTGCATCTGTAAAGACAGAAAGACACTTAAAGCAATCAGGATCATTGCCAAGTCCCACCTGTTTGATTTTCCATGTTCCAAAGCGGCAAGTGGGACTGATCCGTGTGTGTGTAGAACACACTAACATCCTGAGGGACAAGCAGTTCTACAAACCGGGACGAATCCAGCATTTTCTTCTTACAGTTTAGAATGGATGCTGCCTGGTCAGAAATGTGCACGATTCGGCCAGAAAGTAAGGAAAACACAGCCACAAAGGTGTCCTGGAAAACAAACATTGTTAAAGGCAAATCTCTCCCAAAACATAGCAGCCATACTGAAAAGATAAAAGAAAGAAACTACAGTTCAGAAATGTTCTTAAGTCTGCACCCTATTAAAACTGTCTGTGAAAACGGGCAATTAAAATCTCCAGTGCTGCAGCATGGACAATCATGACCTACAAACACTACAAAGACCACAAAATCACGTATCAAACTGAAGCAGAAGCCAAAGACGCATGCCCCTTTCAGACCACCTGCTTATAACTCCACAGAGATTTCTCTCCAAGTTTCAGAAGTAATCACAATTCTACAGGCAAAAACATTATGGGAACTTCTCAGATATATTTGCAGGATTTCTGATTTAGTGTCTGGCACTGCTTAACCTTAACGCGCTACCTAAATGCTCTTTTTTCCAAAGAGAGCCAGAAAGCATAATGCATACTGCAATAAATAAATAAATAAGATCCAGGATTGCAAATAGAAACTAAGGACAAGACCCTTGCACCTAGACTTGAAAAGCTTTGAAAACATGCTGCTAAGCTGGTCTCAGGAGATTACGATGCTGCAGAAGGACTCTAGGATTCTGACAGAGGTAATGGTTACTTTTGATCAAAGAAAAAAAAATGTAGTTATTCCTTCACTTACTCCTGTTGGGTATCCTGACCCAGCATATATAAGCCATGCCCCTGATCCACCTTTATTAATAGAAAGACCTGTCTGTTTACAGCTTAATGGTCTTCAAAAATTTAACAACACTATTTCCACAAAGAGATGCAAAGCAATTAAATACAGAGGAGACAGCAAGTAGTGAATTCCTTGACTGAATTTCTTACAGTGTTTTTCGGAGTGTGTTCAGATGCAACTGCCACCAGCTCGTCTATGCTGTATGTGATCACATGTGTCTGAAACATTCTTCGGTCATTCACAGATTGGAAAAAATCACTGTTTGCTAATAAATAAATAAAAAAAAAAAGAGAGAGAAAAGCAAAACACACACAATAAAGTCAGCACAGAGACTGTGCTGAAAATAGTCCTTACAGATTTCATACTTTTATCATCCTTTTGGTGATGTCCAAGGTGAGATTGGGAAGGTCTGCATAGTGAAAAAGGAAAACGAAATACCGATTATACCCCTGGAGTGATCTACTAATGTCACAGGAAATGAGCAGAAGGAAGTGGAAAGGACAGAATGTGATGACAAAAGAACAATTAAGCTACTTCATAGTCTGTATGGAAAACAGTAGCATAAGATACAGACTATCCAACAAGTTTTGAATTTGTGACAGTGATGCATTTCTTTCAACATACACAAGAAGTTGCTAGTGAACACCTACTAGGGACTGTACTCTGAAGAAAAGAAATAAAAGAAGAGAAGCAGAAACTTCCGCAAAAACTCATTTTTTGCGGGATAACTTCAATGTTTCACTTTAATGCTATTTGTTTCCAGACATGTCTATTCAAGACTGTACATGTCTGTAGAGTTTCTATATCTCCAAACTTTTTTCTTCACATACCTTGGACCTGCTGGACACACTGCAAGGCATAGTTGAGGGCATTTATAGTACTGGACTTGCTGGAACTCCTTCTTCCTTCAGGCAAAAATCTTTTCATTTCTTGGATCATCATCATCATTGTATCTCTGTGAGACTGGCTTCCATTCAGCTGTTTGCTGTTCAAAACCAAAGAGGTTAAACTTTACTGGGGACTTGTGGTAAAGGAATTATTTTTTTCATCTGTTATTAAAACTACTTACGGAACTAACCCTTTATGGGCTTGATCTTCAGTTCACAAAATCTCTGGAAAATCCCAATGCTTGCTTAATATATTTTGCCTGCTATAGTTTTTTCTTGCACCTTTCTCACTTCTGTGCCATTTAATCTCTTTTCCCCTACTTTCTTCCTTTTCAACTCCAGCATATTACTGAATGGGAAACACACGTGATAACCAATGTGTTGCTGAGATGCAGTGAAATTTAAAACTAGTAAAACACTGTTGAACCGGAACCTGTTGATCCCGGTTTATGAATGAATGAATAAATAAAATTCTAAGGTTCACCTCAGCAATACTTGCAACTAAAAGTAAACTGATTTTTGATCCAGACCTTACTGATATTAAAACCACACAGAAATGATGATTTTCATGTACATAAATCCTTCAGGCTTGGAGGTTGGCATTTGATGAAAAGCACTTCATGGGAATGCGAAGTTCTCAAAATACTGCTGATGCACAGATTTCATCCCTCCCATGATTTAAGAGTTTTCATTATATCTGTAACAAAGACCTTTGCCAACAGCTACAATACCAATTAATGCTAATTATTCAGCAAGATTTCCCGTTCTATTTTGCTTATCCCTCTGGCTAAAACCTAACTAGCAAATATCCCAAAATGCTTATTGATTCCAGTAGTATATATGAGACAGCTATTTTACTTTCTGTCCATTCACCACTCTTTAGTATCAGGTTATCACATAACAGTTTGAGATACAACATAAAAAATTGCACATGTGAGTTTGACATCACATAAGTGACACTTTTTGAATTATTTATTTTTTAAGCGTTGCACTGAATTTTTGATTATTCTGGGGTAGTATTAAAGTTATTTCTGCTGTCCTGCCATTAAATACAGTCTATAGATTAAGCATGCTTAGAAGCTGCCAGAGCGTCACTGACGCATCTGCCTTGGACAATCTAAGACCAGGCAGCTTACAAGGAAGTGTGCAGTAATCTGCACCTGAGACCATGGCAGATACCACAGTCTGGGACTCAGGTAAGCTCTGAGGTCTCCTGAAAGCGCGAGGAGCCCTTTGGAGAGCAGGTCCCACACGTCCCTGTGGAACAGGGGTTGAGTTACCTGTCATCTCGGCTTTGCCTCCTCAAACGCCCAGCTGAGCTGCCCTTGGGCTCCAGGCTGAAGTCAGTTCCGCTGCATTTTGGTCCACTGAAGGGCTTCCTCCCAGAGTTTGTTCCCACAGGCGCCCGGCAGCAGGTCTCTGTGTCCTCCCGATGCCCGTCCTCCTGCTCTCCCACCTCGGCAGGGCCCAGGGCCTCCTCCTGCTCCTTCCCCGCTGCGAGCACGGAGCRGCTGCCCCGCAGCTCGTGCAGGTTCATCTCCGGGCAGCGAAACTTGGCAGAACGAGGGACATGGGACGCGGCGGCCCGGCTCAGCAACAGGTCCAGGCCCTCGGACTCCTGCGCGGGGGCAGGATCGCAGGAGTCGTCTGGAGGGAGAACAAACACCTGCCACGTGCAGAACGCGCACGGAGAACCTAGCTGACAGGCACGCTCGCTCTCGCCTCGTGGAAACGCTTTTTATTTCGGGGTGCTCCGCGTTCCCAGCGCCGGCCGCTCCCTCTCCCCGTCGGGCTGACTCGAGCGCCCCGTCCCGCGGCAGAGGCGGCCGCGAGGCGCCGGCC